CCAAGAAATGCCACGTCCTCATAGCGAGAACCAGGACAGTGACAAGGAAAGAGGACACACTAATGAGTATAAAAACATCGACCTTCATATCACACTAAAGAGTATAAAAACATCGACCTTCAAATCACACTAACAAGTCATGAAGCGATCATCAAAATTACAACTGTATTCATCAATCCGCATCTATGGAAATCTTGTATTGAAACTTTATCCGCTGGCCGTCGACATTTCTTTTGGAAATCTTGTTTTACCGGGCAAACCGGGACATGCCTATTCCAATACTTTCAAGAAAGGGAAAGTTGACGATCGGAACACAAGAAGAGAAGACCTGAAGTTTGAGTTACAATCTCCATATTTACACTGTATGTTTTTTGTACTATTGGTGTTTTGGGATTTCCTGTTCAGTGTACATATATTGGACCGGTTGGTTGGAAGGAAGGGAAAGTTAACGATCGGAACACAAGAAGAAAAGACCTGAAGTTTGAGTTACAATCTCCATATTTACACTGTATGTTTTTTGTACTATTGGTGGAAGGAAGGGAAAGTTAACGATCGGAACACAAGAAGAGAAGACCTGAAGTTTGAGATACAATCTGTATGTATTTTGTACTATTGGTGTTTTGGGTTCTCCTGTTCAGTGTACATATATTGGACCGATTGGTTAGAAGACCTGAAGACAATAGAGAACTTCATAATGCGAGGGCTGAAGGCACACGTGTTGTCCATTGACTAGCTGCGATAACTGTAGCTCATGATTTTACCATTAATATATTTATTGTTTTTAGAATGGAACGCAATCAACCATAGAACAAAGCTATAACGACATAAAATTTCAGAAAATATCAATTTGATCGGCAAAGCGTTACGGTTACCGCAACTAAGGTATTCACATGTAACCAAGTGCTACTTCTTCTTTCTCCATTTCATATACTTAACTTATGTACGTCGGAAGCGTACACATATCCATATACATGACAGTGAATTTTTACACAATAATTGTTATCTTCTTTAATAAGTGGAACGGAACAGGATTTTAATTTATAGACAGCATGACGACGTGGGACATAATAAAAGTATAAAGAAGTTCATTTCTTTGTTCTAGAGTGTACTTCATTGTTTGATTTTTTTAAATTATTTTTTCTTAATGTTTTCTTGCCTTTGCTATTTTGCCTCAGAGCAGACAAACGAAGTTATTCGGGGGAAAGAGTTCGTCCTCTGCATGACTTATTAGCAATTTTACATTATCTCTAGTTTTTACCTCAATATATGTCAAAATTTTCGCTAGGTCTGACAGGAAAATATTCAGTAATGTACGATAGTAAACAGATGCGATGTTTGAACTTTAGTTCTATGATTCGGTCTAAGTGAACATCTGTGTAACGTTGTTCCGATCATTTTAAGCCATGAAACATCACATTCACCAGCAGCTGAAGTGACATCGCTTAGAACAATTTCATTACGAATACAGAATGACACTACAGAATACGGACGGTACCAAGTTCAGGTGTTCCGACTATTGAACAATTGTGCTGGAATGTCAATTTGTTTTAGCATATAGATATTTGCTACACGTATTTTAGAAGCGCTATATACGTTATAGACAATTATATAGCTATTATAATTAGCCATTTCACATTGTTTGAACTATTTGGGCGAATATAGTTCCAATGGACTAGCGCTACATGTAGCTATAGGTACACAAAACACTGGGGCAAATGGTAAAAATGTGAAGATAATATTTATCGCCAAAATCTACACTGATTCGAACTATATACACTATCAATATTAGAGGATGATATAACGTTGTGTGGGTGAACTGTAAATGAATGATTCACTGTATACGGAATGGGAGATACAAGTATGGCATTGCCAGGCTTACACAGGAAATTCTCTTCCAGTTTACTTGTTTCTTCTCTAACCAATGAGTGGGTGAGTGATTATGTCACTTTCTGTTGTTTTAGCTTCTCGTCAGTTCTCGTTAGTGTCAAAAGTATGACGATGATACAAGGATTTATCTCATTACGACAAATATGGCGATTTTAATATTTCAGCAACATTATCTTCTTTGTCATTACCATTGTAGCTTGCCCTTGTGTTAACATGCTATTACTGATGTGCTACATACACTTCTATGCTGTTTACTGCTGATCTTATAACGTTAATCATGAGCTACTGCGCTACTAGTGTCTACAATAGTAAAGGATGGCTCACTGTTTATCAAATTATTTTGGACATTATAAAAAGCCTTCAGAAGTATTTTTTTAAAGTTCCTTTGATGAAGAGTATTTTATTCTATCATATCTGGGTCTGAAGATTGATTTTGAAATTTCGGAGTTTTCCCATTGGTGCCATGCCCTAAAAAGGCCAGTCAGTGTCTTAATTTTCATTCCATCAAACTGCCACTCTATGAAAATAATTTCGATGATTTGAATATATACATTTCTGTGTTATTTCCTTATAAAATCTATAGTAAACTTCACCCTTTCCTCGTTGTTAATAGGTCTAAAGTGGAAAATATCGATAAACCACCTTTCTTCTATGAAGAGCAATTTTCTTGGACTACTGGGCTTCGGTTCTTTATACCATAACATTGCTATCTTATAATGATAGTTTCGACTAAGTTTAAAAAAACTATCACGGACTATAAACTGATATATACTGTACATAAAAGTGTTGTTTTCCTATATAATCTAAATTGTATTACCAAGGAGTTATCCATTTTTGCAGTTTTGATAAATTGGTTCAGTGAATGTAGAGAATTTGAAAATGTGAATAGTTTATGGACAAATGACGGACAAAAGGCGAATGCAAAATATTATACATGTATGAGAATTTCTCTCATGTGACACTAAAATGTAACGGTATTAAGTACTTAATGTTTGCTAGTAATCTTTATAATCTGGGATAATTCAATTCACATGTTAATTGCGGAGAAAAGCTGCGTCTCGAGGGATATTTTTAAGGTAAGCTTAAATCTGTTTGTTTTTATAAAGGTACAGAGCGTATTTCACAACAAGAAAGTATTGTGCTGGAATGCAAAGTCCCCTAAGATTTGTGTACAACTTTAGCCCGTCTCGATCATAGCCACATCATTTCTACGGACAAACCTAAACATCTGAAAAAAAAAATCACATTTTTTCACTTAATTAATTACTTCATTGTATTATCGATCTATTTATCACGTCGGTCGAATATATTTCTCTTCTTTTTTTTTTACCTTTGGTACAACGATAATACAATGTTAGAATTACAAAAGAAATCACAAAAAATCTGTTTTTGTTGGCTGTATGTTTAATCTTAAAAACGGAAACTCGTTTTTAACGTAAGAAAGGTACAGTCGACCAGTGGAATTGAAAAAAATACTATTTTCGTCCGTTTCCCTTTAACTATCCTGTGCAAATTTCATCAGCTAGCTATAGATCCTCATCCAAATCATAAACGGATTGCGTTCTTCACGTATGTGATGCAGGGCATCAGTCGCCGTTTAGCTAACGAGGTTAACGAAGAAAACTTTTTGTATGATAGTAAGATTGAATATATTACAGAAAAAAACTTGTTTATCAAAAGAATGATTAACCTCATGCAGTAGAGAAGTTTTGTTCTTAAATTGCCTGGACAATGTTATGATCAAATTAGTTCCTCAAATTGAAACAAATTGCCCTTACCATTGAATATCGTCATTGATGTTACATTGTATTTAGTAAAGGAATTTGTAAATACCTGAAAACTTGGCTGGAGGATGCTAGGAATAAGATTCCCTTTCGTGGGAGGTTACAAAATACCGGCGAACTGAAATGGGCTGTAATATCATCATGTTCAACCCAGTCATTGTACGCACTGTTGTTTATGAGTTAAATTATTCAATATTATATTGTTTTCTTTTAAACGGAATACTGCCGTGAATTATACCTTTTCACGTGACTTTTCAATAAACGTAATGGTACAATATGGCTTCTAGTGTAGTGAATTCACCGACGGACGGACTGTTATATTTTATTGTTCGATTAGACCAAATATCACCTGTCTTACTTTTGACTTGAGATTAAAGTATAAAATTGTGTTAGGATTCATTTTGAAACACTCGTACTTTAAAGTAAAACTGTGAACTGAAAATTGTATGGTTATGATATTGCTGTTAACATTTATAACATAAATACATGCAATCACGAAATATGTCATTATTAAGAGAATATGTTACCCTCTACAATGCACATAAATTTCATTAAGTCGAATTACCTGCAATCTGCCCACATACTTGACAGTTCCACGTTGATACACATGTAAAGGACATTCAATTCAAAAGTTTAAATAATTAAAACATTAGTCACGTGTTAGTTCAGTCAATCGCCTTGATGAATCATACTTTTTTTAAGTAAATAGTTTCAGCTGAAGAAGGATGGGCTTGGTTTACATTGATAAACCTGTCCCACCTATATCATAACTTAAAATCTGATAACTAATATCTTAACTTGTTCTTTCCTTGTTTCCTTATTTTAGTTATATATTCGTGTGTTTATGATTGGACTACAATGATCAGCAACAACAGCACATCATGCAATTTAGGGATTATCCTTAATTTTTGTTATATACAAGGAGAAAACAACAAAACGAAAATAATTCAAGAACAATCACAGAAATTAATTTACTACCACTTTCCTTAAACAGTCCACTCTCGATTGTCATAACTATCTGCACATGATGTTGTAAGGTGAAAATAACTTCCAAGAATTGTGAGTGAATTGTCTACATGTTACATTCTGATATTGCTAAATATATGTTGAATGGACGGTCGGTATAGTTCTAACTGTTACACTCTCTAAGTGTGGTGATATGATATATTTTGTTTGATTCTGTATGGTACATGTAAACCCTATACAACATGATTAAACAGACAGTTAATATGGTAAAGCTTATCACCTACTCTAGTGTGTGGTGAATGGACTGTATCAATACATCTTAACTCTGAGTTGGTTCATGAACAGATTTAATTCTCACCGCAGAAAAAAATGAAGAAAAAAACCCAGAGTCAGCATGAGTGATTTTTATGTACGCATTTCATAATGATGTTAAATTACAAATTCATTTCATGAATGTATTTCATAATGATGTTCAATTATAAATTCATAACGGAATATTACAACATATCCATTATCAGTACGACATTGTGAAATAATATTCACCACCGTAACACATCTCAAATGTAGTCACTAGCACTTCCAATCTGTCCTGCAGGTCAAAACTCAGATCACCAAACCTCTGGCTCCACAAACATTTGGTCATCTTTCTTTTTGTCTGAAATTTAAATTAAGAAAACAGAGGTAAAAACATTTTTGGAAAACACTTTTTATCTCTGAGTTTAACAAGAATATAATTACGTTTTTAAACAAATGTCCCCTTATGGCAGTTGCTTTTAATTGTTTACAGGCCAAACTAATTCACAGAGTAGCACTTTTCCAGCTGATAATATTAGATTATTTGGTATAGCTGATATTCTGTGGGAGCACCCGTGTCTCCTTTCTTGTGTTCTCTCAAGTATACCTCTTATTGTCTTTATTTATAACGAAATAAACAACATTTCACAAAAAAATGTGAAAATATTGTCGGTAGAAAAAGGAGGCACAAGATTCTTCAAAAGATGTGATACCATTGTTACAAACAAAAGAACAAAAAGCAGAAGCAGATAAACATCCGTGGGGAATGGAAACCCAGATATCAGGAATAGAAACTCATCAAAAAACGAAACACACTGAAGTTTAAAACAGGTGAATTTTCACATAATTTCCTGTTTGAAACAAGAACCTCCATGCAAAAAATACCATCCTGGAAAAAATATTGATTGTGAAGTATTTTATGGTGAAATTCAACAATTGCATCAAAACTATAACCTAGATCTCCCAAAAAAACAGGTTAAGAATATCAAATCAACACTAAGATATACAATTGTTTTTCTTTTGTTATCTCCCAATCAATGTTTAATTGCTATGGAACTAGGCAAACATCAATATTCTAGTAATCATTTTATTCAACAAGGAAGTGGACTCTGCTGGTGGGACTATCAGTCCTGATGTTCGCCTTAGCTTTGTAGCATAGTTTACACAAAATACTGGCTTAATAACAATTATCCACTGCAGCCTAAGGTTGTTAATTTGTAATGCTATAAAGGGTTGTGTAGGCTCCTTTCCCTTAAGGCTATATTCTAAATATGTTTGGGAACAATTTGGACAGGTACTATTCATTCTTTTAACTTTTTGTACCAGTGACATGATCTAAATGAACAAAATGGACATATGTTGCAGTAAAGTCTTTGCTTTGTTTGGCTGCATCTCACGAAACTTAGTGGTTAAATATATAGCTGCTCCTTGCTTCATATTTCTAGTGGTTATTCTGGTACAAATACTGAATTTACATTTATGAATTCAAAACTTGTACAAAAACTTTAACCAGAGTTGATACTAACTCTGGTTGACTACATATGTGAGTAGGAGGCATACACTGCAATGATTTCTTATTTGTTTGCCTATTGGTAATGTGATAAAAAGGACCTTAAATTCTTATTCTTTTGTGAAACTCATCCCAAAGTTTTCTTTTTTATGTCTGGTTGATAGGGCCTCCCTAAATTCTTCACTTCTAGATTTTTCATAAAATGAAAACTCATTTCAGATCTTATTTGTAATACTCGGGACATAACACGTTAAACTTTCATTGTGTTATCTATTGCTCTGAAGCATATGGATGTGGGAGTAATTTGTTCTTACATAGATTATAACCTTCGGGAGAACCCAGACAATAGGTTGCGGTTTGACCGGTATGTGGAGCGGTGTGTGTGTAGGTGTGCAGGGTAGAGTGTCTGTTTGGTGGCATTGCACAACACCCAAGGCTACCAACAGCCAAACCACATCCTGTTAAATAAACCTAGTCGCAATGTCCCCAAAATGCTAACATCTGATCTCTCAAAACTAGGTTCAACCAAAATTGCACTTAGAAATTATACAGAAATTCTGGCAAAATGTATGCAAAGATTGGCAATGATTAGTCTGTTATAAGTATATTTTGAAAATTTGTTGAATTGTATTTTGCAAGAAATCCATACTTACACAAAAACAATTGTCTTAATATATATATAAATATTCAACAGTTCCTCTGATGAACCCTCTAAAGAGGTGAAAGTGCTAGGGAGGAACTAAGGCACTCTTTGCATTTGTGTTTTTATATTTAACCATCACCAGGACTTTGAATGTTTTTCTGATTCATTTATATATATATCTGTGTAATTTAGGTTGATAAACCATTGAACCATGTTTCATCCTATAGCACTGTACCAATACAATTGTCCAACCGTCATCTAACAGGTTATAGGTTTTTGAGCATTAAGATATTTGTTTTCAAACTATCAAACAATGGGTGAGTCTGCTATCCCCTTACAACCGTTTTAAACAAATTTGAATTGTTAATATAGAAAATTAACCAAATATTTAAACATACCCAAAAGTATTATTTGGATCCGTATCTAAACTCAATCCTCTTCACCACATCCCTCCCAAAGGGAAAAATGGATGAAACGGGGGAGTTGAAATTTGTAATAAAGCCCCCTTTCCCCCATTCAGATCCCCCTCTCAAGCCAAAGGGGTGCATCAGGATCTTAATTTTTCATACCATTTAACTGCTATCTCATAAAAATAATTATAACTATAAGTTTGAATTTTATCCTTCTGAAAATAGACAAAATATACCCAAAATTCCCTTTTCCTCTATGTAGACTGTGAGAAGGATGAAATTTACAACTTAGAGCCATCCATAAGGAGTTTTTGATTTTAGGTAGAGCCTAACAGTTTAACAATATTGTTACCTATTGCCCCAGCCCCCCAGGTTTAGGTAGGAACCCCAATTTTACATTTTTGGACAAAAGGTCAATGTGATTCTTATTTAAGTTTGAAAGAAATCCATTCATCGCTTCTTAAAAAGTAAAATATATAACAAGAGGCCCATGGGCCTTAACGGTCACCTGATATTTTTATACAGAGAGTTGATTTTGTTTTTAACACAAACAGAAATATTATTCAAAGTGACAAAAAAACAAAAAAACAACCTTATTCAATATCTAGCATACAGAGTTAAGACTAAAAAGTATTTGAAACTAGCACCTCTGATTCTAAATAAGGAAAATGAAGAAATTTTAGCACATTGACTCCTTTGGGCCCCACCCTACAGCCCTTAGGGGGTAGTGCTGGCCCAAAATTTCTCGGGGGGTCAATCAGGGCTGATATGTGCACACCATCAAACTGCTAGCCAATACTGATAATGCTAACCCAAATTGAATTACTTCCGATGGAAATTAAACAAATGTTGGTCCAAAATGTGATTTCCCTATATAAACTATAGTAAGGTTTACCCCCTCCCCAGGGGTAAACGTGAGACCCCAGGATCATGAAATTCACAATTTTGGTAAAGCACCTTAAGACCCTTCCATCTATGAAGAGTATTTGATTCTACCATATCTGGGTCTTGAGAAGATTTTTGAAATTTCAGTCAATTCGACCCTTTTTGGCCCCACCCATCAACCCCTGNGAAATTCACAATTTTGGTAAAGCACCTTAAGACCCTATATCTATAAAGAGTATTTGATTCTACCTTATCAGGGTCTTGAGAAGAAGATTTTGAAATTTTAGTCAATTTGACCCTTTTTGGCCCCGCCATTCAGGCCCCTGGGGGCTTGGGACCAAACCAGACACTATTTTTGTTGACCTTTGGCCATGGAAAATTTCTGCAAAATTTCATTGAAATTGGTTCAGGGGTTATGGAGAAGAAGTCGAAAATGTAAATTGTTTACGGACGCATGACGGACGCCGGACAAAAGGCGATCGCAATATAGGTCACTAGTTAATAAGCATATCTTTGATTTTGCCAGTGCATCAACCTCCTTGATATGGAACTTAATTTGCTAAGCTGATCATGAGAGGTACTGATGTTTAATAGGAAATGTGAAAGCAATCAGAAGTTTGGTTCCCTTGTCATGACCTTGACCTTAAGTGTACAAGTTGTTGTAACTTAAGTGTGTCAAGCAACACTTCCTTCAGTTTATGATCTTCACAATGAATGCAGTTTCACTGGAAACTTTGAAAGCAATCAGAAGTTAAGATCTGGGAAAGCATTGCAATAATTTTGTTTTTGATCCCTGAATTTGATCTTTTGGGTGTCATTAAATTTTATTTTTTTACACAACACTATCTTCCAGTGGTCATTTAAAAGATATGTACATCAAGTTTCAGAAGGAAAGCTTCAGCAATTTAAATTGCTAACTGTTAACAGATTTGCACACCAACAGACAAACAAATTTAGTGACTTCACAGGGAAGTGGGCTTCAGTATAATCACATGACTTGTGATATGTGGGAATACTAATCATAACCAACTCATAAGCAAATTCTGAATTCTCTCAAGTTAGTAGAGTGTTTTCCTTTATTTTTCTTATCTTTCTTCCAAAAAAAATGAAACTTTGCATGGCAGCCTGAAATATTAGGCAAATAAGTGATAAATTGTATTACCTTCATCATTGTTACTTTCGGTTTCCATAGCTTTGGCACTGTCTGCATGGTTTCCATTTGTGTCATCAATGTTCACTGTATTTTCCTCAGGGATTGGCGGCGTGATTGACCTAGATACAAAGGGGGCAGCTCTGAAGCGAAGGACATTATGATGGACAATTACCACATTGCCTACAGCTAAACACAAAGCATGCCACATATGTATACCAAGCCTAAAGCTGAACACAAAGCCTGCCACATATGTATACCAAGCCTACAGATAACACAAAGCCTGCCACATATGTATACCAAGTCTACAGCTAAACATGTAGCATGCCACATATGTATACCAAGCCTACAGCTAAACACAAAGCGTGCCACAAATGTATACCAAGTCTACTGCTAAACATGTAGCATGCCACATATGTATACCAAGCCTACAGCTAAACATGTAGCATGCCACATATGTAGACCAAGCCTACAGCTTGACACATATCGTGCCACAAATGTATACCAAGCCCACAGCTAAACACATAGCATGCCACAAATGTATACCAAGCCTAAAGCTAAACACGTAGCATGCCACATATGTATACCAAGTCTACAGCTAAACATGTTGCATGCCACATATGTATACCAAGCCTACAGCTAAACACAAAGCGTGCCACATATGTATCCCAAGCCTACAGCTAAACACAAAGCATTACACAAATGTATACCAAGTCTACTGCTAAACACGTAGCATGCCACATATGTATACCAAGCATACAGCTAAACACAAAGCGTGCCACAAATGTATACAAAGTCTACTGCTAAACATGTAGCATGCCACATATGTACACCAAGCCTACAGCTAAACACAAAGCGTGCCACAAATGGATACCAAGTCTACTGCTAAACATGTAGCATGCCACATATGTATACCAAGCATACAGCTAAACACAAAGCGTGCCACAAATGTATACCAAGACTACTGCTAAACATGTAGCATGCCACATATGTATACCAAGTCTACAGCTAAACACGTAGCATGCCACATATGTATACCGAGCCTAAAGCTTAACACATAGCATGACACATATGTATACCGAGCCTACAGCTAAACACGTAGCATGCCACATATGAATACCGAGCCTAGAGCTAAACACAAAGCATGCCACATATGTATACCGAGCCTAAAGCTTAACACATAGCATGTCACATATGTATACCGAGCCTACAGCTAAACACAAAGCATGCCACATATGTATACCAAGCCTACAGCTAAACATGTAGCATGCCACATATGTATACCAAGTCTACAGCTAAACATGTAGCATGCCACATATGTATACCAAGTCTACAGCTAAACATGTTGCATGCCACATATGTATACCAAGCCTACAGCTAAACACGAAGCGTGCCACATATGTATACCAAGCCTACAGCTAAACATGTAGCATGCCACATATGTATACCAAGCCTACAGCTAAACATGTAGCATGCCACATATGTATACCAAGCATACAGCTAAACACAAAGCGTGCCACAAATGTATACAAAGTCTACTGCTAAACATGTAGCATGCCACATATGTATACCAAGTCTACAGCTAAACACGTAGCATGCCACATATGTATACCAAGCCTAAAGTTAAACACAAAGCGTGCCACAAATGTATACCAAGCCTAATTAAAGCTTAACACAAAGCATAAGATACCGGTATTACACTTCAGGCCATGCTTAACAAACACAAAAGATACACAAAATATATAATTTTTCAACCCTAAATGCGTTAATGTTCACACCAAGCAATATTACAACTAAGTTTAAATGTGCAACACAAAAGCATAAACATGAAATTAATATAAAGCCTATAAATGCTTAATACGTCTCAAACATATATTATTGTTTACTACACAACAAGTACAATTGTAGCAAGTAATATACACGGTAAAATCCCATATAACACTGGATCCTAATGGAAGTATGTCCGTATTCATAGGATACAAATTACTTAAAATAGTATATGGGGCAAAGAAGTGATTCCAACAGTGTGGACAGGTTAAGGTTGTCAAATTTTCGGGACTGTTCTGTTTCACTGTGTCTTGATAAAGGAGCGGAACGCTCCGAAAATTTGACAACCTAAACTTGTCCACACTGTTGAAATTACTTTTTTGCCCCATATATATATATATATATGGGTCAAAGAAGTAATATAGACGGTAAAATCCCATATAACACTGGATCCTAATGGAAGGATGTCCGTATTCATAGGATACAAATTACTTAAAATAGTATATGGGGCAAAGAAGTGATTCCAACAGTGTGGACAAGTTAAGAAGACACAGTGAAACAGAACAGTTACATGTACATAAACATTATATTACAAGAAGATAGAACTGATATACTATAATTGAAAATATAGCTATTACATAAAACCAATAGTCCCCTCGGCTAAAGACAGACGATCGTGAAGGCAGCAATTAAGCTGAGAGTATCGCGGACAAGATTCCCACATGCACATGTTCCACGTTTTTGATATCTCGTCCCTTCTTTCTGGTGCTTATCTCTCGTTGACTCACTTTATGTGATAGTGCATCTTGCACAAGAATAGGTCCTCTACATCAGCGTTCCTTGTCCGCGATGCTCTCAGCTTAATTGCTGCTTTGCGATCGGCTGTCTTTAGCTCTGAAAATTTGACAACCTAAACTACCCACACTGTTGGAATTACTTCTTTGCCCCATATATATATATATACTACTAAGCCTATTACTGAACAAACAATCAGCATACATTTTAAACATAATATTTAATGCACACAAAGTAATACATTTTTTCCCCCAACACTGTTGCTGGGTTAAGTTTTTAGGAAACTAACAGAACATTAATACAGCAATATGCAAATAAAAAAGAAACATTGTAATAAGAGCAATACATGTACTGTACATCTATGTTTATCTGACATCTCAGATTGCACTCATTTATTGCATGAATGAATAAACTTTACTCAGACAAAAACGAAAGATATATCCATACAGGAAATAAACTCTGGATCTAAGAAGTCAGATGCGCTCATACATGAAGCATTGCCTATACCGGTATCTATGTATTTACCTATTGCTCCACAATTATAAGTTACATGTAGTCAAAGTGATGTCCAAAACGAGACTGTCTGACAAATTGACTATCCGCTTATAAACATTTACCATTGCTGTGATATTGCGAGGTTTAGTGACTTGCTTTCAATGCCAAAGTGTTATTTGACACTAGAGACTATCACTACATAATTAATATGTATATTATGACTATACTGGATATTTGACTCTTTGGTAATGTATCAATATTAAGATGACTTCCATAGTTTCAGATTAAACACATCCTATATTGAGAATCATTTACAAGTATTTATGTGACATCATGTGTCATTCCTAGCACTACCATCACAGTACCCAAAACCGGACACTTTTCCGTTAAATGATTAGTTTCAATTTCAAACAATTTTTTTTGTCTAAAAATATAGATTGGACAACATGCATGGGCTATTTAAGCTTTTTCTGATACCATAGTACAATGTACATGTATCAATTCCAAAAAAGTATTTTCATTTTTCATAGATACCAGGGATAATCCTGGAGGGGGCCATGGGGCGATTGACCCCTCAAAACTGAAATTGACCCCTCCATGTTTCAATTTTCTTAAAATTTTACATAGAATGGCCCCTCTTTATTTTGATATTGACTAAAAACTGTTGAAAATGACCCACTGCTCTCAAATTCCAGGATTTTCCCTGAGATACCATCCATTTTTCTATTACAAGTTGAAATTTTCGGCAAGTCATTATTTAGATAAAATGCAAAATACTACAGGTATTAGGGTTGCGCAGATTCTTGAACTGGTGTTACTGTATCCTGAAAGGGACACTTGGTATTTTGGCTAATATTGGGGAATAAACGATCATTATCATATGTTTACTCAGAATATGAGTGTTTTTGCATATTTGATAACTTCTGACCCCTCCTGATACCACTTCCGGTCCCCCGTGTGATAAGTTTCTCGTAATGCATCCCCCCCCATGCAATAACAATTCTTGTAATGCACCCCCTGTTCGGAACACCTCTACTTCTGCATTGGATATGGGAAGCGCCCGAAGCGTTCCGAGTAAAATCCGGATTTGCGCTGTCAGTTGTTTTTTGGCTTAGACAGTGTGTTGAGCAGACGTCAACTAACAAAATGTCAACAAACCAGGGAGAGTTCATTCACAATCAATTTTAACCCTGGGCCTACTTCTTTAAAGAAAAGGAGAGTGAATGTCATAACGGACTCGAATAGTGAATAAATCATGGCGTTTCATCTGCAATGAATACTATAGTAGTAGGCGGACTAATAATTACTGACAGCAGCGATTTGAAACGATATTTATTCAGAATTGACTGAATATCATCTTGTAATAATCTGTTTCAGTTGACATTGTTGATTAAATTATCTAATTGTTTTTCCTGTTGACTTGATTTTTTGTTACTTGAACATATGATAAAAAGTTTATAATATGACCTCTAACTATACGTAGAACACATAGTTCCAATTCCCTTTAGAAATAGGAGGTTCTGATTAACTATCTTTTCCTAACTGGCATTAGTTTTGAAAAAATAAGTTTCTGAAAACGATATCCAAATTATTGTGTTATATGACACGAAAATTAAGAAAGCTATGTTTTAGTAAAAAATAAAATAACTTTAAACTTTCCGTGTATCCATAATCAGAAGCCAATAAAGTCAATATATATTGTAATTATTAATGTAAAAGTATCATGAAGTAAAAATTGCAAATCAAAAATATTTCTTTTAATTGCATGCCAATTTCTTAGTTCGCTTTCCCAAAAGTGTCCTGTTTTGACTACTGTCCCATTTGGGTACACTGACATTATACATAAGTATATTCTGTTATCCTTCAATCGATACTATTTTTATACTCATTGGTCTTTACTGTATAAAGTTAATTTTTCTCAGTTTACAAAATTCCATCAAGAACATATTTACAAGGTTTTCTTTATAAATCACCAGTAGCAAAATCATGATGTGTTGTATTCAGTTTGTTGTGATTTATTTTGTTGTAATTCAATATTTTGAAATAAGTTGATAGACTTAATAAAAAAAAAAGCATTGAAAATATTTATTCTTTTTAGTGATTTTATTTTATTCTTGTTTATTCCATAAAACAAACAACACAGAACTCTCTGACAATTAAAGATCAATCTTAACCTAGTCTTTTATGTGATAATTAGCAAAATGCAGTAATTAACAGTCAGACGACTTTTTACTGAACAGACAGTAGATGTGATGCCTGTTTTTATCTACTGTCTGGTGTATATGACTTCCTGAGAAAGACAATACTGACATAATGTATGTATGTCTAATGCCGGTTTGAGATTTTCCTTATTTAATTACAGTAAAGGGAGCTAATAAATGATAAAACAAACATACTCAACATTTAGGCACTTTCTTTTCTTGTTTGGGACGTTATTTTCTGTGTTGGCTGTGGATCGTTTCCGTGACTGGGTCTGGCCATCCGTCTGACTACTCTGATATTGTAGCAAGGTCCTGATAGTGTACACTGTTCCACCTTTACGCAGGCTCTGCAGGACTGTCACAAGCATAAGCACAGTGTAGGGTCATTTCTTGATAATGTGATATTCATTTGCTGATTTGTTTCAATAGCAATATATTTTTAATTATCTTACATCATATTCACTATACAAAGACATATTCAGTTTTCATAGATATTTGATATTCAAAAACTTGGCTTGGTATATCATACTCTTCATTCAAAAATCCTGATTGTTTCAATTGTCACAAGTAAAAATAATAATTACCTGAAAACAATGAAGTATAAGTTTAAAGAAAGGATGAATTTTTCATTGTCTGAACATTATATTGTTACCTTTCTGGGCATCTTCTTTAAAATGAAGTGATGCAAATGCTGATTTATCGTCTATCCAGAATATTTGTGAACCACCTGTAATTAAATTTGTATTTATGGTACTGCTTCACTGAGTGAAAACCCATTAAAACAATTTAACACATTAAACATGCAATCAATATGTTTCATTGAATGAAAAGTAATAGCTGCTAAATTTCACTTGGTCCAGTTATTTTTAAATTGATGGCCATTACCTAATCATTTTAAAATAATATACACTGGAATAACCTTGAAATTGCCTTTCAATAATTTCTTTTTAGAAAATAATGTTTAAGAATAATGGTTTGTGTTCCTCCCTTTTATAACTTTCTACTAGCAATTACTACATATTAAATTAATCTCAAAAACACTAAAACGTCAAATTTAAAGTTTTTTTTTATATATTCAACAAATTTAACACTTCTAAGAAAACAAGAAAAAAGCAACGCTATCTAGAATATACAGTGAAACAGCTGTCCACTGGACCAATTTTACACCACTGACTACATAGTGTTACTTTAACTAATTCACCCCTAAAATTTCATAATAAACTATTCCAACTTTTGAATTGGAAGAGTTCAAATGTGTGTTCGGGGTGAGAGAGTTAACAACATAATGAACAGTTTCTGTTTGACATTAAACCGATAACTGACCAAAGGGAGAGAATAAGTTTGCAATGTCGTTCGTCTTCCAATCCCTAGGAAACGTTAAATGGAACACATGGTCTCTGTTAGGAATCACTGAAACAGAAATGGTGTCATGTCTGAAAGTTACTTACATATGGCAGCAGAATACACTAAATAATGGTTCTCAGCCATACATACCCCCTTATATACCTACCATATCTTTTATCATTTCAAGATACAATACCATACATTAAAAGCAGCTAGCACTTAAACTATCAGGAAAATAACTGATAAGTATGCCAAAAAATAAAACTCTGGAAATGTTAAGTTATTGTCTTTATTTAATATGTAGAATTTTGTAAACCTCAATTTTGAGAGCATTATCATCAAAAAAAACATTCATAACAAGCAAGGCAAAGTATTTAGAGTAATACATATATGTGTTCCCTTTTTCTGGACAAACTTCTGAATCATTTTCCAAATTATTTCTTTCATCCTGAACTCAGCCAAAACTACAGTTAAAGGGAGATAATTTTACTCACAATCTTGGCTGGCTAGGTTAATGTAAGGGATGTCTTGAACTCGCATCAGGAACAGTCTATTAAGATATAAAATGACAGCAAAACATATATTCTAACACAGACAATATCATGATCAAATTTTATTATAGAAAGAAAAATCTTACAATGCAGGAGAAATAACATTTCTTAATTGTACAACTGGTATAACAGACTTAGTCTTATCGTTCAGATTTTATGATAGCCATCAACCAAATATTTAGTTAAAAGTACGGCTAAATCAACTTGTTCCTTTTTTTAAGATTTGATTGCAGCCAAGAATCAAATACTTGAGTTAAAGTATGTTTAAATCAAATTGTTCTTATTGGAAAAGATTTTATGGCAGCCAAGAATCAAATATTTAGGGAAAAGTGTGGTTAAGCTGACTTGGTGATAAGAAATGTAAAACAAGGTAGACCTACTTGTTGATAAATGGCTGAATGAGAGGTGACGATGGGAGAATGTTTTCCTCTGATGGATTCTGGAAAGTACCTGTCATATCAAATACAGACAATAGCTATTTCATTTCAGAATATTTTATTGTACTATCTTATGTACAAAAGGAATTGGGCAACGGGCATAGCCTATATAAGCCCTCTCCTTACAAAACATAGCAGTATATACATATCATATAAATGTTACTTTTACAGATGTTTTTTTAAGTATTAAAATAAGAGATTATTTGTTATTTGAATTTGACATGACAATACATATTTCAAATATCGCAATTGTTATAAGAGAGATTATTTTACAAAGCTATTTGAGAATCTAATAAAAACGTCTGGTGTCTCTAATGTAATATTGACAATAGCTATGATTTGTGTTACATTCAATTTCATCCCCAAACAGACATTCTTTGTTGTAGTTTAAATGTTTATTAACTATTCTTGTGAATGAAAACTATGTTGTATTGAGTGCTTGGATACCATGTTAATTACTGGATACATCATTAGCATAGAATTGCCACATACATGTACTTCCCTTAAATATGTTGTAAAATATATTACATATACATGTACTTCCCTTAATATGTTGTAAAATATATTACATATACATGAACTTTAAATCAAGATAACTTCTGACAGACAATTTAAATGTCTCACAAATGATATTTAAACACATTTGAATTTGTGAATAAGTTGTCTGAATCTCAATTGCATAATAACGTTCTTGTAAAATGATTAGATTTGTTGGATGAATAGGGAGCCACAGAAATCTGTACAAACCTAGGTAGTTGGACATACAGATGAAACATATTCCTGTCAGGTAGGCATCATAGCCTGCCTCGTGGAGGGGTCCTTTTTCCACTGAATACTTAGTGAACTTCTCTGGCATTTCTTCAATTGAAATATCAAGTTTCAATAACCATTCACAAAAAAAAGTATCTATTTTACAAAACATGAAACAAATAGCAAATAAATCGCGAAATTATGAAAAAGTACATTCTAAAAAGAACTCCTGTTGTTTTAAAAGAAATCATCCCCATGAACAATTAAATGAGATTTTACATTACCTGGTATTTATTTCTCTTAGTGACAAAACATAGGATCACACATGAAACATTTACACCAGGTACATGTAGAAGCTATGTAGAAACAGGCAGATATGTTGTACCTATACTTAATCTAAACAGTCTGTACCTTACATTTGTATTGCAATGCTGTTATAAAGAAACATAAACAGAGTAGCCTCAGAAATAATTAAATGTACTGCTATATCCTACATCAACATTAGAATGATATCTTAATAGGAACATTAGACCTCCCTCAAATTATTTTGCAGTTTGAAAAATACTATCTATTAGATTAAATGATGCTGTCTCTTCATTATTTTTCTAATTAATTTTATTTCAATCCAAATGTAAACTTAACTATTAAATTGCTTTCAGATCATCATTCAATATTTGAGTTGCCACCTGCATACCTTGTTGAAATTTAGTGTGGAGAAAGGTGTGTAACATATATACCTGCCAATTAATTAGGTCGCAGCAATGAAATCGGAGGTCAAAATACAGGTCAAGCATTCTACTTATAGGTTATTTCAAGACACAAATTTTCAAAGTCATCAAAATTGCATTTAAACTCTAATTTGCCATTCGATATACTAGTATGTCTTTTCTGATGAGTATTTTAACAGGTGTTTTTAAACGTTTTCAATGATGAGCAAAGCATTGCAAAAGCAAGTGGTTCCAAGTATACCAAAACCTGTACATGTCAAGAAGATCATGTGCAGATTGTCCTACACAAATGCAGGTGACTTGACAGGTAAGATGCTGTGGCTACAGGTGACGTGACAGGTGAAATGCTGAGGCTACAGGTGACTTGACAGGTAAGATGCTGTGGCTACAGGTGACTTGACAGGTAAGATGCTGTGGCTACTAGCCTGAAACTTGAGTAGTCTATAAAGTAAGAGTTTCTCTACCTACCAACCTGAGGCTTCTGGAAGGGCTTCACCTCGAGGATCTTCTGTAGGTCAGCCAGAGTTGTGTTCATTATTCTTTCCTACAGACAACATATCAACAAAGCGTAACGAAATACTGTCATTAGATCAAATTCAAACGTATACAGATGCAGTAATACTGCTGCCCAAGAATGGCATTATCCAATTATCTCCTTTATGGAATGAACACATTCACACGTTGTATCAGATACCTTTTTAGAATTCCAATTTCCAATTTACCAAAAAAACTATTATTATGATAATATCAAAAGTTTCAGTTTGAATGGTATATAAACATAAATATTATGTCCCGGTGGTCTTATAAAATTGGTTCATAATTAACCAAGATAAACTTACTTTGAAGGGACTGGTACTAGCCATTAGTTTAGTGTCTAATAATCTGAAATAAAACATTAATTATCTTCATGTTATCTTATTAAATATGATTATACATTATGTAATATTAAACTTGTCGTCTTCAAACTGATCAGAGTTTCACTTAACTATGGTTAACCATTATGCATTAACAAAATGAAAAGTATGCCCTCAGCACATTGTATTCCTTGTTTTACAAATATCAAACCAAGACTGAGAAGGAAAGAAAAAGTGATAACTTACTTGGGGAATGCAGACAAGGACATGTCTTTGAATTCTGCATAGCTCTAAAAAACAAACAATCCCATTAAATCAACCAAGAATCACAAGTAAACTTTATCTTACAAGGCCAAGGTTTTTTTCTTATTTTAACTGCTACAGAGAGATTTTCTCTTAAATTTTTCATAATCCCTGTTAAGTTATTCTATCAAAGACACTACAATATGAAATGGCCGGCAGGGTTACCACTCTATAGCCACATCATTCCAAGGGAAGCAACAGATATTGTCATTAAGATCAAATTATTTTTCTTTATACTTGCAGCAAGAGTGATTAATATAAGTCGATAGAACTGGTAACATATTTGTATACAGGTTTATATACATAACCAGTTAAGTGTTTATGTTTGACATTTCAATAACAAATAAATATATACCCTAAATCAGATTTTTCTGATGAAAATGTTTGATAATATAGTTTCATAATCATCGCAAAATAAATGAAGTTTCATTTTAAATATTAACCACAAAAAACAAGTTGTCCAAATGTGATTTTACATACATTACTATCATTTTTGATGCTGTACACATTTTTTCACTGGACAGACACATTTGTTTTTTCACTGTTTTTTAATCACATTTATCTGAGTTTTCCTTGGATGTCTATATATACAAGAGTAATAAATGAGGTAAGATTTGAGCAATCATCAAATGAATGCCCAAGAAACAAGTCCCATAGAATTTTTAGTTCCAAGGCAGCTAAAATATATTTCGCAGCAAAATCATATGGTAAATTATACAGGGGACAGAGGATAAGTAAAAATAAGGAATTAGAAGATATGCATGTACAAGTAGTAGTAAAATCAAAACAATTCTGAGCTCCTGCTATTTAAATATTAACCATGCATCATCACAGGCTAAACAGGTTTCAGTTGAAGCTACATCAGTGAACAATCACACAACTGTAGTCCAACCCTAGCTGTGGAATAATCTTCCAATTTTGTATGATGAGAGATTGTGTCATGTATATTGGTGGTGGTGTATGGTCTACGTACAACACATCTATACAATATCAATGTCAGGACCGTACCTCTGGTAGTGGGTAGAAGAACTGGTGCAGTGTGTGTATGAGGTCCAGCATCATGTTGTGTCCCACCACTAGTTTACCCTGCATACAAACATGTCATCATTAGGTTAATACTGTAGGTAGACATGTCATCATCAGGTTAATACTGTAGGTAGACATGTCATCATTAGGTATATACTGTAGGTAGACATGTCATCATCAGGTTTATACTGTAGGTAGACATGTCATCATTAGGTTTATACTGTAGGTAGACATGTCATCATTAGGTTTATACTGTAGGTAGACATGCATTATTCAAGTTGTCATAATAACATTTGTATTTTCCCTCAATCTTTGTATTAAAATGACCAGGTGGAAATGGCAGAATGAAACACTATATCAGGTAATGGACTTTTACAGAACAGCGTTATACATGAACAAGTTAATGTTTATTAACAAAAGTAAGAAAACTTTTCTTAGCACAATCTAGCAATAATGCATAAACTAACTATTTGTAATATTGTTGGGTTTTTTAAATACCATTTAATTTTTTCCTAAAACACAACTATTATCAAACTTTATTTCTTGAATAAAAACATGACAAACATGCACTAGTTTTACATTAAAATTATGTAATACATAAATTGATTTAAACAGCATCATTAAACAACAGGCCAATGGGCCTTAACAGTCACCTGATATATTTTCAGAGAGTTGATTTTGTTTTAAACATGAACAGAAATATTATTCAAAGTGACCAAAAAAATGAAACCACCTTATTCAATATCTAGCATACAGATTTCAGACTAAAAAGTATTTGAAACTAGCACCTCTGATTCTAAACAAGGAAAATGAAGAAATTTTAGCACACTGACACCTTTGAGCCCCACCCTACAGCCCTTGGGGGTAGGGCTGGCTCAAAATTTTCAAAGTTTTTCAAAGTATCAAGTTATTATCATGTAATATTCAAAGTATCATTTGCGATTATAAACCATAAAAAAAATTGGCCCCCCCCCCCCTACTTCCCCAGGGGGTAAACGTGAGACCCTAGGGTCATAAACCTTAAGACCCTACCATCTATAAAGAGTATTTGATTCTACCATATCTGGGTCTTGATTAGATTTTTGAAATTTCAGTAAATTCGACCCTTTTTGGCCCCACCAATCAGCCCCTGGGGGTCAGTCAGGGCTCATATGTGCTTATTATCAAACTGCTACCT